CCCCAAAACCCCAAAACCCCAAAACCCCAAAACCCCAGATTTCCTTGATACTTATGTATTTTTTGGAAATAAAAATTGCCTTAATAATGAAGGATGAATATTAATACACATACAGTTAATTATAGTCCTCGATCCAAATCAATTTAAAGAAACTCATTAGTTAAATCTACCTAAAGTTGGTCCGATTCCACTTCCTTTATACATACCCATCATACCATTAGAGTTATTAAAGCTACTAACAGTGTTTAGACCACTTGGATTATAGTTTTTAAAATTTAATGCTTAAGGCTCATTTTGAAATCTTTGGTCTATTGTAGGAGTGGGTTTGAAGTTTTTGTCATTTTAATGCAACATTTTATCAAAATTTGCCCCAAATATGTTGTTCTATCTTTTTCCATAGTTTAGTTGAACTGCTTCTTCAAAATAATTAGAATTTTTAGGGAGTGCTGGCTAACTATCATTTCTAATGTAGGATTTCTAAGTTTGGCCTTAAGGGAGGCTATTTGTATTTTGATATTAAGGATAGTGAGTTTAAGATTGTTATTAGAATGGATGCTAGTGTTGCATAAAATCAGAATATTTGCTTCCATTTTATTGATGATACAACTCAGTCTTAAAGCCATTTTCATCTCTTCGTTCTCCGAATAACTGATTTTAGACAGCGTTTTAAATCATTGTACTATTTCTTTTCTCAATATTTGATGATTCATGATTTGGTCCAATATAATTTGGAACTGATTATACATCGACTTGCTTTTCTATTTACTGATTCTTGGCTCTTAAATCTGCAAAATATGGATGATTAAGACAATCTCGAGCAGTTGGTCTAAAAACAGGATCCCAGATTAACATTTTCTAAATTAGATCTATTGCTTGAGCTGATGCTCTGCTTACAATTTTAGAGATGTCACAAGCAGCAAAATTTGGGAAATTAGCTCCAATATGGACAGCCATTCGATAGCCGTCCTGCCAAGAATTAGGTGGTTTTCCAAGAACTGCACACAATCTGTAAAGCTAATCTTGCTCACTTCTACCAGGAAATAATGGCTAGCCAGTGTATAATTCAGAGGCAATACAACCCATAGCGAATATATCTACTGGAGAATTGTACGTAGTTGAATGCAAGAGGATTTCTGGAGCTCTATACCATCTTGTAGATACATAATCTGTATGAGGTGGAACTGATCTAATATCCTTAGAAAGACCGAAATCTGCAACCTTAACATGACCGTTGTAAAAAAGTAAATTTTCTGGTTTTAAGTCTCGATGAAATACCCCATGAGTATGCATATAATCTAAGCCTTACAGTGTTTGAAATAAGACACTTTTTACTTGATCCTCACTTAGTCCTCTAGCTTTATTATCTTTGATCATTTCATAAACATTGCCCTGCATGTATTCAAAGACCAAATAAAGATCATTGTTTACTCTTATTACTTCTTTCATTTTGACAATATTCGGATGATTTAGTTTTCTTAAAGCTTTTATTTCTCTTAATGCCATACATTCATCCCATGAGTAGAATTTCTTTTTCATCTTTTTAATAGCAACTACTTCATTTGACTAGTTATTTGTAGCCATTGCTACACTACCATAGGTTCCATCTCCTAAATTCTTAGTGATTTTATACTTATCCATGAAATTTACTAAAATTAATACTATAATTCTTAAATAGATTAAATCAAACTTATGAAAATAGAGACATTCATAATTATATATTTGTTGCTAAATAAACAATCATCATTATATCATGTGTTTCGAAGTTTAGAAATTTTATATAGTCTCACATATGATAGTTTGAAAGAATTTGCATTAACTCCATATCATCAGCAATATTTGGCCTATCACCCATATTTCTATCTATATTTCTTTGGATCATGCCTTTCATTCTCAAAAATCTTTATTTTTACTTTGAGACTTTGAATACTAAGTTATCGTTTTTCTTTTTAAAATTGTCACATTAATCAATTATATTTCTCAGCTACATACTTTTATCCACTGGAGTCTTTTTACCCTTGTATATATTTCTGAATCCCTTATTATCAAACATATTAGCTGTGGTTGTTATATTAAGTGCTACATTATTAGGGATCGATCCTTAAGAAATTTGATCATTTATACTCTAACTTAACTTAGTATTTCTATATCTATATCCTGCATTTTCCAAATCATGAGGTGATTAGATATCAGATCCATAGCTTGTGATTGCTCCTTATCTTGAAATGATAGGCTAAGAATTAGTTATTTCATAATTTGTTGTATTAGCTTTGTTGAGTAAATTCAACTGATGTCTTCTCATTGCTAATCCTCGGTCTCTGCTACTGTAGTTAGTTGCTGATTTCAATCTTTAATTTTTAGTGGAGTTGAAACCAGGTAGATTGTTTACATCTTAATTTTCATCCTGCTTTCTTTGGAATTTGGTTTGTGTCTTTTGCTTGACTAATCCTGAAGTTGATGAGGGCTACTTGCTTTCCTTAATTTTTATTAAGTCATCCATGAAGATCCTAATATCATTTTAAAGTCTATTCTTGCAGTTTTACTTTTTTTCTGTTTACTTTACTATAAATTTTTTCAGTTCAATGTTGGTATCAATTGAAGTTATTCCATATCTAATATGATTCACATAATGTTCAGAGGCATGATTTTTGTTTTTAGAGTCTTGATTTCTATCATATTCTTGCTAGCCAGGAATATCCTCTTATCCCTTGAATGATTAATGTCTGTTGCGAGCAACATGCCCACCTCCTCTTCTCATCTAACTGACTATACTGTTTTCAATGACTTTTGATAGGTTTCTAATGTCCTTTTCCTCCAAATTCTTTATCAAATTGTAATGACTTTGATTTTTATTTGTAGCTTGATCTTCACCTTGCTTTAATTACCTGCTTAGCAAGGTTCTTCTAGAGTTATTACTCTTTGCTGTTTAGGGTTTTTTATACTAGTCATTATTACTATACATATTATTCCCATTAGACTTATCATTGATATCTCTATATTAAGATTTTATTTTACTCAGAGATATAGTATCAAGTTAAATACTTACTCAAGTGCAGAAGGATGGACTTATGATAATTTAAACATTTATGAATATTTATCAAATTAATTGTTATTTTTTATTTGAGGCTAATCTTTACCCAAGGGGTTTTGGGGTTTTGGGGTTTTGGGG